ATAATTAAGAAAAAAACAAAAAATAAATAAATTAAATACGGAAAGTGAGATAATAAATCCTCCGATTTTAGTGAACAGACTGGTTTCGCTTCACTTCGTTACTAACCGACGACAGAAAACTGCAAACGTTTTTAAATGATATAGAAATCTGGGAACGGTGAATCGATGTTCTTTTAAAATAGACTGGAATTGGGCTTTTTTCAGATGTGGCTGTCCTTAAATGAAAGTGGAAGAAACTGACAACTTGAAGGTCTTACGAATACTTTAACTATTTATCAGTCTTCAAACAAACGGGGGAATTTTCAACAAAAGAGACCGAATCAAAATAATTCACAATGATCGCATCGATATGAAATGAATAAAACGAAACCGATCCTACGCAGCGACGGCGGTACGTACGAATGGCTCAAGAGGTAAACAATAAAAAGGAAACGAGGAAACGTCAACAATGGGCATATATCACAATAAGGAATTCATTTTATCGCGGAGCATTCAACGTGACCATCTTTCGAAAGCAAACGAAAACATACACAATTCCACATTCATTTCCATTTTGAACATTTCAACGATCCGTTGGAATACGCAAAATCACGAGAATGGAAATTCGTTCACATACGAAAGCAATAACTTACTTGTAAAGATAAATAAACTTGACTGTTCATTGAACCTCGGAACCTACATTACAACTTCAAAATGGTGACTTTTCATAATCCAAATATGGGATTTGGATGTGCACAACGGCTTATCAATAGCTAAACAAACAAAAAAAAACATCTTCGACTATACAGGTCAATGTAAACATCTACCAAATGAGACGTTTGTTGATATCGTACGCTATCACGTTGAATCAGCATTAGTTTCTAATAGAGTGCATTCTATCAGAATCGTTCAGAACTCGATACACTGGAATTCCGTTCATGAGTTTGCTTTAGTGAGGTGCCCACTTCTTTGATTGACGAGATTGTCTTCTTGAACCAAGCCGCATGTTTATTTTCTGTATCGCTGTTGGCTGTTGTTGAATTCATCTGAAAATTAATCGCATTAGCAATTCGAACAACTTCTCACCGGGTATCAAAACCAATAAACATTTCATAATAACATCAATAAACGTTCATAGATCACATACGCACACTAATCACAATACTAACAGCAAACAATGAATGATAAAAATGAAATATCACCTGATGACTCAGGTCCTGATTACGGCACTGTGCTTCAACAAGCGCGAGTTTTGTCTGTGCCAGTTCCAATTCGATTTGTTTGATGTGCTGTTCACGCTCTTCAAGTTTATCAATCAATTCAATTGCTCTCAATCCACATCCATTTTCTTCTGTTGGAGATAACTGCAACAATAACATCAATAAGCATTCCATTTACAAAACTCATTTCAAATTTATTTTGAGAATTGCGATGGAACCTCATCCAAACTGCAAACAGAGCAACCACATTTTAGCAGAACGAATCAGGGAACCAATGACGCCAATTTTAAAAAATGATATGGCCAGTGATGAATAACTATAATGATTTGTTATCGCTCGGAAATTCTGCATCGCCTTAATCCAGAATCTCGAATTTGCAGTCGGCTAAGAGAAGTTGTTAAAACGATCTTTAATCATGCTCAACAAAAAGAATTAATCCTCTACCATGAATGGAAAAAGAAAACTCACTTTTTTCGCAGGACTCGCACTGAAATCATCGAACTCAGACAGAATCAATGCACATTTTTCACACTCGGAGATCTTTGTCTGCAAACAAAAAAGGACATTTGCCATTGGGAAAAAAAATCAGAAGTTTTTGAGACACAGGCATATTTCTCCGTATCTCAAATTTCGGATAATGTAATTGCTTAAAACAGAGAAAATCAAATACACTAGCATAATATTCCGAATCAAATAATATACGATACCGCAAGTTGCTTCTTCTGTTCTTTGAATGTCTGTTGTTGCGTTTCCAAACGACGACTAAGATCAGAACATATCTGCTTATAATTGGAAATAATTCCTTCCGAACGACTTGCTTCACATTCCAATCGTTGCACTTCTCTTCGACACATCTCTTTCACCTTAAATTTTATCAATGCTCACAACAACCGTATCGAAATGCATTATAACTTTTCACGATGATCAACAGAAAGCAACACTTGGCGAATATACATTTAACACGAATTCAAACTTTTCTCAACAAGTACGCAAGTGAAAATATAATTGAAGCTCGAAAGGGGAGTAGAAAATTGAACAAATTTATCGACAATCAACTCACTTGTTCATATTCTCCATGAAGATTGCGATTTTCATCTTCAAGATCTTTCGCCGCTCGAGTGCATCGCTCCAATTGGCCTGTCAAACTCTCGACGCTATCCTCAGCCTTAAATGATCGTGACCCATCAATAATTTCTGGCATATAAGATTAGCTGCCTCTTCTAAATTTTTTTGTCCTTGAACTAGAATGGAATTCTGCACCTTATTATGTTAACAAACGAATGAACGATTCAAAAATTTAAAAGTTGTAATCAGATCATAGAAATTTATAGATGAAATTGAAATGATCTGCAACATGTTCAAGAAATTTGCAACTGTGATAAATAAGCGGGTGACATATTGTACACTTGAAAGAGAAAGCATACATTCTAAATACAATCGAAGTAAACGAAATAAAACCATAAATAAAACAAAAATAAACACAAAAGCCAAACACCGCGTACAGTGTCCAAGTTTTTTCTCAACTCAATTTTGCTCGTCACCAGTTCATGCGCCAAGTCGTCATTTTCACGCTCCAATCGCAGTATTGTTTCTTTCAATCGCAAATTCTCACGCTGAACGATGAAACGTCAATCGATGTAAAAAAAAACAACCAAACAAGCAAGCTCAATACCGTTCGGTTCAGTCGTATCAATCAACGTCATTCTCTGACGACAATAAAATGTAAAATGTAACAATAAAC